CCTTTGTGGTATCGTCTAAGCCATGCCAGAGTGCTCAAACTAGAGTAAACTAGCGAGCCTGCGCAATTGCAACAGCAATGACTCATCAACAGATTTGTAGTGCGAAGTTTTAGTGCGAAGTTTTAATTTTTATTTTCCTAAACAATATATACCTACAATTTAAAGCCTTTAATAAATTCCCTTTTTTAGATATTGTGCAAGGAAAGAAAAACATGCTGGATTAAGTATTAACTATAACTGAGTGAATTTTCAGGGTAGCAAAATAACTCTCTTTCTGGCCTTCAATTAGTTAATCGTGAGTTCCCTTTCCACTCTTTCATAATTCCCTCTTGGGAATAAACCACTCGTCTGGAAGTCTTAAGTCAACAAATCCCTGGACCTTTTCGTGCATCTAACGGAATTAGAGAGGGAAGGGCAAAATAATTAAACTACCCTTCTTGTCTAGGAGGAAAAGAGAAGAAACGCAGATCAAAGGAGGGTAAAGGAACAATCAACAGAAGTGAATGCAGACCGAAAACAATTCAAAATCAAAATCAAACAAATGTGCATCAAATATTTAGATTTAGTACGCACCTTGACGCACTCGAATAAAGGAATTCTGTGAGCTAACTTAGGCCATATCGTTTCGTAAAAACAGTCATGGTCTACTTCAAAGTCTGAAGTTTCTATATCTTCTTCCTGTTGAATGGAATGTAAAGTTAGAGTCACTTTTTGAAGGGCTAAAAAGGAGGAAGATTACCCTACTTAGGTGGCATATCGAGAGGGGTGGGGCAGGGTCGAGACCAAATTATCGCGTTTCGCGCTCTAAACATTTACCCCCGCCTCGCCCCGTTCACGACGAAGAGTGCCGATGGCTTCATTTATCTCTTAGCTTTATTCAAAAAGTTGACAAAAAGAAGTCTAACAAGGAGTATGTATTGTTTCTTCTTCAAATCATCCATATCAGTACACACCTCTGGTGGGGGCATTCCACATAAGTAAGAGCCACTTTCAGGCCGCACATAACAACCAGTAGTGTCAATAATTAACGGCATTTGATGTTTGTTTGGAGCGCCAGGACAGCTTAGTACAAAGACACAGCGTTTTCTTGGTTCCACAGGCAGATATATCCCAAGCTTCCTTGCGAGATACCCTGCCTTTGCACCTGCAGCATTCACCACAAACCTACAGTGGATGGTTTGAGGATCATTTGGGGATGAATTGGTAGCAACCTAGAAAGAAGAATCTATCTTGTTGGCCGACCGTATCACAGGGGGTTGTTGAAGGGTTACAAAAAGATACCAAAGTGTGTGTGTCCATAGGGCAATGTTCACTTGAAAGTCAAGAGTAATATGGTATTGCTTAAGTTTTGCTTTACTCCAACTTGTGATTGGTCTAAATGACTAGATCTAATAGATTCTGACATGCAGACCTGATTGATGGAACATCAGATGTTGCATGTGCCAAAAGTGTCATGTGAAAAAACGAGTTTTGAGATTAAAAACATGGAATATTTTGAGTGTGTACTATAAAGTGCAGGCTGTCTTCTTTAGGATGCAGGATTTCAGTTGTCAATTTAACAATGGATTCAGGATTTAAGATATACAGTGGATAAAAGCATAAAACTTTAAATAGGAACTATAGGTTAATTGAACCTTTATACTGCATATTTGCCCATTATGATCAGTGATAAAGTCCACTGCCTCTCCAGTGATGTAATCCACATTCAAAGAACTAGCCTTCCTCTTATAGGCATTGAGGAGTGACCAAGGATCAAACCAACCTTCCCTTCCTATTCCTGAAATATTTTGGCAAAAAGCTATGTTACATCACTGAGATGTGGTCCAAAAGACTTACTTTATGATAAAATAACTTTAAAACAGAAAAAAACTGTTTTTAAAAAACATCATGATTGCTAACTCATGTAACTTGTCTCTCCCTACACAAAGCAGAGAAAATGACACTGGCTGTTCAGTAACTAGTTATTTATCTTACATTAACATTGAATGTCATGAATGGGAATTGGAAAATTGACCACAAAGAAGATTTTCAGCTGAAATTGAGATGTGTAATCAAAGGAAGATCACGTCCTTCACTCTTCAAGCTTTAACTTATATATTCCAACTCACCTTTCTTTCATTCCCCTAAACTTACCTAGACAAATAATTTCAAGCTATCCTAATCACTTTTGAGTCTTACAGAATACAACAAGGGCTCAACACTAACTTTTCAACTTACTAGCCAGGTAGATAGTGACATCTTAGAAGTTACGGCAATTTCAGTTTGTTTACTAGCTAAACTGGCTTGTGAAAATTAAAAACCACCGGCCAAAACTAAATTTCTACTAGTCTGTGGCTAGTGGGCTACTGTTAGTGTTGAGCCCTGACAACAAAGTTCAAGTTGAGGGTTTTAAAGTGAGGGTGTGGAGGGGAGATTTAAATTTAAACTCTGAATATCTCAGGGTAAAAATTTATCGCTAAGACTTTGCACCATAAAAATACATATTTGTTAAATTGTAAATCAACGCTTAATTAGGAGTCTCACAAAACTATACTTAATAGATAGTTTCTCAATTGTACATATCCTAACCCAATGAAGCTAATGATATCCCATCTGTATTGAGCCATGGAAATCGTTCACTGAGCTCAGAAGGGGAGAGAAGAACAACTTCACATCCAAGCTCCCTGAAATTATTTAAATGAATTAACTCATGATCAACACCTGCACTCAAATTTAATTGAATACTTGGTAACTGATCAGCAGGAATGTTTTGCAAACTGAAATGAAAACTATAGTAAAAACTCTGAATAGTTGGGTTATTTTCAGAAATCACACCACACTCCCTACTCCCCCCCCCCCCTCCATGGATGCAGAGCATCCCACATTAAAAAAGGAGGTAAATTTCTAAAGAAACTGTGTTTCTGTCTTGGTGCATGGGAGTAAAAAGGTAATTTTGGTTTTATCAACTGAGCCAATAATATAAATTGGCCATCCTAAAGAGTTTCAAAGCTGGCTGTGCTCAAAATGTCAGCTTGGAAACTCTGCAGTGGCAAATTTACACTGTCAACTCAGTTAATAAAACCAAAAATAGCCCACATTATTAAGTTGTTATCTATCTTTTGGGCTATTGTACAAGTCTAATGAAAACAATTAATCTGTAATAATTAAAAAGCTTTGCCAATGGAACTAACAAATAGATATAACCCACATTGAAAGCCATGAAACATCACTATCAATTTATCTTAATATATGTATATTTTGTCTGTGGGAACCCAACTGAATGTTAAGCTAAAAGATTTAGATTGTGCAAGAAAAAAATGAGAGGTCACAAATTGATCACAGACAAACAAAAGACTGTAAAAGATTGCAAAGAGGTTTGCTTGTACCAATGAACGACCCAAAGAGCATTTTAGAAAATATGAGTAGGGGTACATTAGTGCATGGCTGGGTGAAAGATAAGCCCCCCCCCCCCCACTTTTCAAAACATACCACTGCCTATGATTCTCATGATCTCAATGAATGACTACCCAGTATTACTGTAAGAAAAATATAGATGCTCAGGGTTTAAAGGTTTTACCATCTTTTCTTTCTAAAAAGGTGTTTAAATCTATGGACAGTTTTACTCCAAAAATTCACCTCTGAGTTGCATGATTTTCCTTCATTTTTTCTTCTCCTTCCTTGCTTGCTAAAAATAAGTAACCCTGACTATGCAGTTGAATATCAGGGGGGTCGCAGCCATCAACGGCTAAATGCTGTTCAATTTCAGATAAAAACTGAAAGCCATATTGTGACATTATGATATTCTCAGCCATGGAGAACTGCTGCCTTACTGATCCTACTGACAAGGTTGTTGATGCCTTTGAGTACTTTACAGCACAAAACATAAAAAAGATAACAAATCGAGAAAAATTAGTTTTTAAGTTTATAGTAGCAATCGATTGAAAACTAAATGAATAATAGAATAAATAATAAATTTAAAGAAGTAAATCGCGATAAAGTCTCCTCGATTTTACGTAGCCCTGTCGCGCGACAACTCCAAATGAAAGCAACTTGTTCTATAGGGAATGCTAACTTACCGTAGGATCACATTCAATAACGCAAATTTTTCCTTGTCCGTGCATTCTACTTGCTAAAAAGTAGGCCGAAGATGAGCCTATAGCGCCACCCCCTACGATTGCAACGTCGTAGACATTTTGCTCTTTAGAGCTAAAATGTTTCGAAAATTTTGGATCTTTTACGGGAAAACTTGACCAGAAGCAACGAATTGAGTTTAAATTAAATTTTATAGAATAGCAAACATTCCTGGTCTTCTGAGGACAACGCAAAACTGTGCAGAAGAATCTTCTGCCAGCAGCCATGTTGAAATTTGAAACCAGTTCGACGGGACTACCGGACTGCTAGTTGGAGCTCCCCAGCTCAGTGGACAAGCTGAATTCAGAGAATGCACGAAGTGTGAAAAAAGGCCAATTACACCTATATCAACGACAAAGGAAAAACTTAACCGATGCAGACATCTCATGTATAGGTTGAGCCTTATTGCTATTCTTCTACTTTATTTAAATCAATATTTTTGACTCGAGGCTAAGAGGGCTAATTTACATAATTAACATACTTATCATGCCTGGAAAGTAAAGAGAGAGAGAGGTCCATAAGTACCTATTCATTTTTAAAAATCCCCTTCATCCCCTGATGGCAAATAACTAAACAACAATGTTCTTTCCATCTGGCCTTGTTTTGTGCAACATGTTGTGCCCCACCGAGTAATAGTGGAGTGGAAAAAGATAGATCGAGAGTATATCAAATAGTACACCTGTTACGTCACGCAATAGTTCCAAACTTGTCACTCAGTTTGGTTTAAAGATGGCGGCAGTTTCTGATCTTCCGTCGACGAAAAGAGAGTTGATAAAACAGACCCCTCCTAAACCGTTTCTCATTGGAGTTGCTGGTGGATCAGCTTCTGGAAAGGTAAATGTCTTAGATTATCGCCATTTACAATCCTTTTATTGGTGTTTAAACGAGTCTTCAGACGCCAGGCGCTAATGTTCTAATGTGTTAATTCTCTTTTGCGTTCAAGCTTTTTTTGTCTGTTTGGTTGTAAACATCGCTCCGATCTGCTCTTGGAGTCGACGCTTGAAAGTGGAGGCATAATTATTTCACTTCATAAACGTATACTGCACTTTACGAAATGCATACAATAATTTATTGTTTTGGAAGCTCTTGTTTCCTGGATGTAGTTGCGTTTTCAAACGTAACTGTTAATTCACAACAGTATTTCACCTGGAGCCATGAAGTATTTCAATAGTTTCTTTTCATCGTAAACGTAACGCGAGCGGTTTCCTTTTTTCCATCACCTGTCAACTTTAAGTTGCATTTTATTCAGATTTTATGACTCAGCATGACAAATTTTAGAGAGTATCGAGTCCTTTAATTCATACATCGGCCTTTAATCTGTAAATGGGACTCAAATTAATGGCCTCTTAATCACCACAAAAGGTAAAGTCCAGAAGTTTAAAAATGTTGGGAGTCGTTTTCTTCAAAAGTATTAGGTAGAGCTGCGAAAATTTCCCTCTGACACCAATGATAATTGTTTACTACCAATAATATAGCTGTTACTCGAAGCTATATGTAAAGACCAATGCATCACATCAATAATTAATGAACCGAGGGAATTTGAATTGACCTGTCCGTTATGAGGAAGTGACTGCCTAGTAACTGCAGATTGAGGGTAGTTTTTGCTCTCCGTCTGCTCCACAAGGCTCTGGGAAATATTCTTGTTAATAATGTGTAGCTTTACCAAAAACATGGAGGATGTAGTTGGACAACTTTGAGCTCTGGCAGTTTCATGGATTAAGAATGGATTTACGATTGAAATCTTTCAAAGTATGTCAAATACATATGCTCAATTTTGGTTTTTAAGTAAAGTACCAGAACACATACTTTTAGATTAACTTTTTAGCCCTTATTCCTGACTCTTAAATCCTTTTTTTCTCATATTAATTGCATGAAATTATTCATTGTTGATAATTTATTGTTAATTTGGGGCCCAACTAAATAACATTTTTGTGATGAAGACTCCCTTTAGATATATTTTTACTTTTGTTCTTATCTTATTGTATAATGTTATTATCCTTTTCTTTATTCCTATGATGCAGTGGTATGAACTAGCATTGAAATCAAGTTGTCACAAAGTTGCAATTTAAAGAGACTTAACTTCATACCAACCTAACTTTATACTTCACTCTCTGTAGTCAACAGTATGTGCCAAGATAATGGAACAACTTGGCCAGGATGCAGTGGAATCCAGAAGAGTTGTTATCATCAGCCAGGAGAGTTTCTACAGAGAACTTTCTGAGGAGGAAGCTGAGGAAGCTAAAGTGGGAAACTTCAACTTTGATCACCCAGGTAATGATTGGATCAGCTGTGAAGTATCCTACAATAAGATAGCTTCCAACCATTTCCCCTTTGCTTTATTTGAACATTCTTTAACTGATCTTAATTCATTTGAATTGAATTCTGATTTTAATTAATTGTTACTTTTTTTTCTGCTTTGTTCACAAAATTGATGAACAGATTTTTGCAGTATAAATAATATTATTTATGAGCTAGAAATCCAAAGTGTTTCAAAGCTAAATGATATATATATATATATATCTATATATTTTGCTTTTCCCTATACCAATCAAGATTACTAGCCTTTATGTTAGTGCCACCAAAATAAAATTCATTTAACCCATAGCCGCAGCTTTTGTGAAAAACTGTGTTTTGAAGCTAGTCGAGCAGATTTCGGGTCACTGTTGTGGTTTTAAAAGCTCAAACTTACCACAAACCCATTGACAGCTTGTACACTCGACAGCCTTTCGATCCAAATGCAAAATGGTGGCCTGAAAATCTCGGGCATGTGCAGAAAGCAAAATTTTGAGATAGTTTTTGGGTTGAAAAGTAATGCCCCACCTACAACTTTTACTTTTCTCTCTTTCTCCTGCCCTTTTTTTCCCCTTTCCTTGCCTGAAGCTTCTCCTCACTTGCTGGAAATTTAGTAAGCTTCATTTTTATATGAGATTTTTTAGGAAACTACTCATTATTTTCAAACCACATGCTCAGAAAGGTAGGTAGGTAATGGAACAAGATTTTCGTGCAGATTTTCAGGTCAAAGTTACATGGTTTTTTGGCTATTTCTCCAATCTCCTTCACTCGATTGCGCTCATTCTGGTATCGTTTGTAAGATATTTTCAACCTGTTCAAGTACGTGCTCAAAGTCATGCTCCAGGGTTAAAAAAGATGACGTCACAAGGCGTAGAAAGGGTGTGGGTCCACATGGGTGCTTACGGGCACACTGGACATCAATAGGTTAAACCCTTCGATTTCTAAGAGTGACCAGCATCTAACTTCTCCTTGCAATACCACCCCTGAATTAAACATAAAGGTCATGAGAATAAAGGAAATGATCACCAAACACAGAAGCTCTTGATTGTTAAACAAATTCTCCTTGTCCTCAACCAAGGAGGAAATGTATAGAGATCAGTATGGATAAAATGAATACTGATGTAACAGTATAAATTGTTAAGAAAATAAATTATTTTGAGATACATCTATATCACAGTGACTATAATTGTCTTTTTGATCAGATGCGTTTGACTTTGAGATGACACTTGATACTTTAAAGAGAGCAAAAGCTGGTGAAACTGTTGAGATACCCCTCTATGACTCTGTCAATGCCACAAGGTGGGTGTTTTAGCCTAATAAGGCACCAGTGCTATTGTCTGAAAACTTCTTGGGACTGTTAGGGACAGGTACATTGTAGAACTCATTTCCAAAAAACTGTACTTTCCTCATTGTGAGGAGAATTAATTAATTGTCTTTACTTAAAAACAGAACACAACAATCCTGGCAAATTTTAGGCCTGATCGTTATTTTTAGTTGTAATCTCAATGCACTCAACATTAGCTACAGCACCATGTTTCCCAAGTTCAATATTGTTAGTCTAGGGTAAATTACATCCATTATAAGTTAAAGGTAACAGAAATTGTGAAATTTTTATTTACATGTGGTTTGTGTCTTAACATATATACCAAGTCTCCAGGTTTTTCCATGAGTATCCTAGATAATTTAGACCAAATTTGTCAGCCTCCAGATCTATTCTTTAAATCTCTCACATAAAGTCAATTGGGTTTTTTTTTTCTTTAGAAGAGGGGAGATCACATAACTTCATCCTCCGCTGAGTTTTAAAACAATTTTGAGTAGTTTTCTGATCATATTTTAGTCTAATTTTTTTTATATAAAAGTATATATGTTGTGTCCATTGTATTGACCTCATTTGGTGAAGAGAGACTAGAACAAGGTGGTCAAGAAACAAATTAGAAGAAAGCAGTGGGTGGAGATTTGTACATTAATCAAACATCTCCATAATTCAGGGCCTGATTGTCTGAAAGGCAGTCAGCTTTAATCCAGGATTAAAAGTTTAACTTGTCCTTGATTTTGCTTCAAATAAAACATTTTGGCTAAGCCTTCAGTTGGTTTATCATGCTTTGAACATCAAGGCCCAGATTTCCAGAGGATGGCATCTCTGTCTTATTCTTCTATTCTTTTTTTTTTTTTTCCACTACAGATTAAAAGAATCGGTCACAATATACCCTGCTGATGTGATATTATTTGAAGGAATCTTAACAATCTACTTCAAAGAAATGCGTGACATGCTTGATATGAAGCTATTTGTTGATTCAGACAGTGATACTAGACTATCAAGAAGAGGTACAAATAATTTGTGGAAATTAAATGTAGCATTTCACTTAGTACATTAATTACAAGGGTGTGGTCCAATGTTGTTGGTCTAGAAAAGGTGCTGTAAACTCCAAAAATATTGTCAGTGGTGACTTTATCCATCAGAGAGGAACTCTCTGTGTTCATCTGTTTTCCAATAAAAACCACAAATTCTTATGAACTTTTAACTGAATCTGTCATGAGTGACTTTACGTCATATCTGTGGACAGATATGAACCTTCAGGTTGGTGTGCCTCTTCAGCATTCCATATTGCAGTAAATGATTCTAAGGACTCTCGATCCTACACTGTGTTAACTATAAACTGAATGAATTCAACTTGTAAGAAGAGCAGGGAAGCTCACCATTTCATATCATTCTTTTGTTTTTAGTGTTAAGAGATACTCAGGAACGAGGGAGAGAGCTGGATCAAGTGCTAGCAACATACACAAATTTTGTAAAACCAGCATTTGAAGATTTTTGTCTTCCGGTAAGTTAACAATATTACTGTTAATTTTGTAATGAGAATTTTTTTTCTCTTTTGACAAGCATGTGTTTTTATAAGTAGCAACACTGTGTAATTTGAAGAAATTGTTTGCAATATTTTTAGACAAAAAAGTATGCAGATGTAATAATACCAAGAGGATCAAATAACACAGGTAGGGGTACCAACAAATTGAAAGAATATCTCATGAGCCTATGTTATTTCATGAATAAAGGCTGATAGTTTCTAAAGTAACTGTTTGGAGCTGCATCGGTGGGGGTAACGAAATAATTTTAATATATCAACAAAGTTGAAATGGTAAATTGGCCACCGTTACAGTTATAAAAGCTGACATTTCGAGCATTAGCCCTTCGTTGGAGCGACGGATTGGCGACGGAGCGTCAAAGGGCAAACGCTTGAAACATCAGCTTTTATAACCGTAACGGTGGCCAATTTACCATTTCAACTTTGTTGATATATTCAAATTATTGTTATTTCATATCTGGTTGTTAATTCTCCACTCTTGCTGCTACACATTTCTTTGTAAATTTGTGGTGAGAATTTGATATTAGATCAAGGTAATAACTTCTACCTAAAAAGTTTGAGTACTCCTATTACCTGTTTGCTGGATGATGTATGGACTATTATTGAAAGAAGTTACCTGTTAATCACTTTTAAGAGTCAAAGGGTTAAAGAAAACCTCTCCAACCTTAAAGCCCATGATCTTTATGATCATTACTTTTAGGAACCTGGGGCCTGTTTCTCGAAGGACCCAGTATTAA